TGATGAGTGTTCATTGATTAGCTAGTCAGGGATTGATCTGGGTCACAGATTTGTTAATAAAGCATCAGTATTGATATGATGAGTGTTCATTGATTAGCTAGTCAGGGATTGATCTGGGTCACAGATTTGTTAATAAAGCATCAGTATTGATATGATGAGTGTTCATTGATTAGCTAGTCAGGGATTGTTCTGGTTCACAGATTTGTTACTAAAGGATGAATATTAATGTGGTGAGTATAATTAGTTGGGGATTGTTCTGATTCATAATTTTAGTTTATGAAGAATCACTGTCGTCATGATAAGCCATAAATTAACTTGTTAGGGATGACTGCACTAATTCATGCATTTTAATTAAATCCAAATAAAACATGTCATTAGTACATTTAATGTTTCTGGAATTATACTGAAATTTATTGATGGTTTTTATGTTTATGAGAAGAAAGCGAAAATGCTAGAAAAGACAAACAATTTATAAAATTTTCAAACAAATAGTTAATATGATTTAAATAAAAAAAACTGATCACAGAACAGAAGTGGTCTACCTGACTGTAAATAAAGGATATCTCTTTTAAATTAATTTTATTTTCATTTGGTTGAAAAATCAAGTTAAAATTATACGTGTATTGAAATATAATGATGTATGGAGATTAAACATTTATGTGATACCCAATTTATTACAAGAATACTTTAAGTATTTTTTACATGTATAATTAGCTATCAAGCATCATTACCTAGCTGTGCGGTATAAGGACTATGATAAGAAGAACATACAGCTGTAATGTGATTAATGACTTAAGTTAATATCAAGAAAGTGAGTTACAACAGCAGTAAGTTAGTTTTATTTTAATAACTCAATGGGAAGAAAATCAATAGATAGTCATGCTTAGTTTAACACCAATTTTTTTTTATCTCAAGGGTAAATGCTTCCATAATTTTGCTGTTACGATAACGATCTCAAACTTTCCATATTTTAAAGTAAGCATTTTCTTGAAAGTTAGTCTTGTAGTTTTCAAACTCAATAAAAAACAAAAATGGTTTTGTTTGAAGTTTTAAACTTCCATTATTTGATCTCAGACACCAAGAATGGAAAGGATGGTAATGATCACAAGAAGAAAGGAGGCTTAGGAAAATTGTTTCGAAGCTTAGGGCCAAAGAAAGATAGGGATAAAGGTAGAAGATTTCCTGGAAAAACTGGATCCAAAGTCCATAATTTCTGGTCTTCATCAAAACACCACAATGAAGGTAATATTTGTATGATATATATATAAACATTCTGTACATTTCATTTTAACCCATATAAGGACATGAAGTCCACACTGTCTGGTTTTCATCAAAATACCACCATGAAAGTAATACTTGTGTAACGTTATACGTGCTTCTTGCATTCCAATTTAATCCTTCAGTGACACAAAACATTTGGCTTAGCTTCTTTTTTCTTTCTTTTCTCTCTCACAGTTATATCAGAAAGAATACAGCACATCTTGTGATTACAATTAACCTACGCTACTTAAAATCAACAACGTTTTCAGTATAAAATATTTTATGAACATAGAAGTAATTTTAGTTAAAGCTTGGCTTGTAAAATTGTTATGTTAACTATTTATAAATTCTTTTCTCTACGGATAATTCCACTCACAAGGAAATTTTAAACTTAATACTTTAAATTAATTAAAATTATCCTTAAATTTGTGTTGATTTTTTTGCACTATTACTGGAAAAAACTTTTTTTTCATTCACCATTTTGTGAACAACATTAGAAACAATTATTCTATATTTTTGAAAATTATATCTTGTTTCAGTAATTCATATCTTGTTCAAAAGCAAAATACAATAAGGTGTTGCATAGTTTTTTTTAATACTAAAAGATCTTTTCCTGACTAATTGATCTAATGATCTTAAAAGGTTTGGCCAAATTTCTTAAATGGAATTCAGTTTTTATACTGGAATGTTTTTTGACTCGAGCAGAGAGACATCTAGTGGTTGGAATCTTTGCATTGCCTCAGGCAAGCGGTTGGTGTGTTTGTTTGTGGGAATAATGTTTGTGCATTTGAAAGAAATGCTGTCCTCTTATTGTGAGGTTAAAACCCCAATAAAAATAACTTTAAAAGTAGACAAGCCCAAGAAATCTAATCAGTTCTTCGTGTAATTCAGGGCAATATATCGTAATTTTTTACTTGATATTTTACAAATTTGTACCATAAGGATTGGCGACAAATTAATGAATCTGCTATCAAGATTATTAGTGAAAGATAATTAGTTTTATTATTTGACTGTTTTATGAACATAATGTACACTTTCTGGTTAGTTTGGTTTCATAATTTCACTTTATCACAAATCTAATTTTGTTTTAGACATTATGTCTGCTTTGTTCATATTCTTTTAATGGTTTTCAGATTAATATTCATTGACAGGTGTAAACTGTTTTAAGAAAAACAAAACGTAAATCATATTTTATAATCGAATATCTAGCCATTTATACGTATCTAATTTCATAAAGATATTTGTTTTTGTTTTTTAATCAATAATGAGACTTAAGATTTATTTGTTGTATTCCAATCCTGAACCATTTTGAATTCACACAAGGTATTTAAGACTAATCTCAAAACCAACAAACCTTTGAATCCAGTAACATTCCAGTACAAAACTGAGTATTGGCAGATGTATATTAAAGAGTTGTGGCTGAGTGTTTTTGTACTAGTTTTCGTAAGTTGATCACGTTGGCTGGCAAGGCTTAGGATCAAAGAGGAACGTATTGGTTAGTCAGAAAACAACATCAAACCGAAGCACCACCAGTGTTTCCGAAAGTGTAAGTCCATTTAAAGGAGGTAGTATTAATACACTAGCTTCATTGCAAGATAAAACAAGATTATTTTATTCATGAAATACCTATCTTACCTTGGCATAACATGAAAACTGAGCGAGTGTGTCGAGGTAAGGTGAATTTTACGTTATTTAAATGATTTCATATTTCTGTTCATACAGCTCTGCATCCTCTCCCTCAGTCCCAGTCAGGAGATCTGTGGATTGGAAAAGAAGGTTCTTTACATCTGATGAGGATGATTCGGGATGGCTACATGACTATTGAGCATGCTGTTCAAAAAGTACGTTTTCTTTGTGAATCTGTTTCAACTTTATCTGAAATGAGGTATTTGACTTGAATCTCTCTGTTGAAGTGGAACATATCTTTCAGCAGTGGTTTATGTAAAATGTGGTTAAAGGTATCTTCTAGTAACAATAACTTGCTGTACTGTGTTTGGGCCTCTATCTAGTTATTGTTTGAAGTTGCTACAGAATATCATTTTCACCTATATATTGTTTTAATACTTTAATGCAACACTGGTATTAATTCTAAAAATGAGTGTTTAAGCAATGAGCTACTTGTTGTTGGTCCAAGATATTATGGAAAGAAACGTTACGGGTT